GACTTGTGATAAACTTGTTGATACTCAATTGCTAAAATCATGATTCATTAAAAGCTAATCGCAGTTAAACCAGTGTCAGCCTTTTGAGCCTCATGAACCCCATGTTATATTTGTTGAGTGCGACATGTACTTACGCTTGCTTTACTTTTCAATTATTTGGAAAAATCCCGAATGGGTACCAGATTGCTAGTCTGGAGGAGTTAGGCTTGTGATCAACCAGTCAGTTGTTCCTATAGATTGGAGTCTTCACCCGAAGACCAGAGTTGTCTTTTCGCTGTTTGCTGTCTAAGGTTATATTCTTTATACTAAGTACGTTATATATTGAACATTGTCTTTTGATATTACCCTTATTTGTAGCTATATGTGAGATTTGACTTTCTGGGTTCACATATGGTGCGTATCTAGTTTTATTCTTAAAACCGGGTGCTACATTCTACTTGATCATAATGAAGCAGCGCCACATCCCAGAGTGTCTTTCCTTGACATGAAACACGCTGGCCAGCGGGTGGCGATGCTGGCGGCGGGACCGACTGGGCTACCCGTGGATCATGTCATGTCATGTTATTACCGCTACAGGCCAGCGATGGTTGCTCCTCCGGTCGACACATGTGCTTTCGACGGCGGCGACCCTGCTGCCGCGGCCATGTGCATCTCTATCCTCGCGATGTGGGCGAGCGGCCACCCCGCCGGGGGGCTACGCCACACTGCTGGGGCACCACCGGGCCGGTCGTGCACAACACGCAGGGGTGGCTGCGCTTTGCGCCACATCGAGAGAGAGAGAGGGAGAGAGAGAGAGAGAGAGAGGATGGGGACGGCGGAGACGGGGACGGTGCTGAGCCAGTGGCGTCGACGGGTGGGGGTGGGAGCGGTGGTGTTGCCTGCGGCGATAGCGGGTATGGAGCGGTCGATTTATTTCCTTTTTTTGCGATGCAGGCGAGCGGCGCGAGCGGTGGGAGCGGGTTGGTCCGCCCCGGAGGACACATGGGTCTAATCATTATCGTTAGAAATAAGATCGAAGAGAATAAAAGATATTTGTTTTGACGCTAAAATATATTTCTTACTTCATTTTTTTATTTGCAACTTGGGTATTTTTATGGATATTTTTTTATTACTTTTTAGGAAGGAAAAGTCCTTTTTTAAAGACCACTCGCCCGTCTTTGTTTATCCTTTCAAATACAAATGTTGATAATGTTTTCAATATATATTTTCATAATAAATTTTTTAGTGATACTAATGTTGATATACTATTTTCAATACTTCCTCCTTCTTAAAAGTATAAATCTCAATTTCCAAAGAGTCAAACATTCCTAGATTTGACCAAAGATTTATAAAAAAATATTACTAATAATTATTAAGCATCACTAGATTAAACATGAAATATATTTTTATAATAAACCTATTTAAAGATATAAATATTGATAATATTTTTTATGGATATAGTCTAACTTAAAATTGTTTGACTCTTTTGTTATTAACAGAGAAAATATATCTAGTTAATTAAACTTGACGGCTCACGGCTGGCCGGGTCTGCCGTCTCTGTTCGTTCGTGCAGCCGCCAGCGGCGCCAGCGAGAAGTGGTTCGGATGGAAGGACGCCATGGATCACTCTGGGTGCACGCATTGCAACTGCAACCACTCGAACTTGGGCTGTTGGGCAGTGGAGAGGGACGACGAGTCGGTGACGATGCGTGCTTTGTTGCGTGCTGTGCACCAAGCCAGCTGCATGCCTGATTTTGTTGAGTTCGCGACGTGCATGGACCAATGCATCGCATCGCAGCCATCGTTGCATGCATCCCTCCTCCGCATGAGCATGCACGCAACAGTCTTGGATTGGCATCCAGTTAGCTCCTCTGCGGAGGTTTGGCAGCGCCTAGATTTGATATCGATGTATTACTTCCCCTCTCCCGAAATAAGTCCTTGTCTCAATCGCGACTTTGATTGAATATTAAAAAAAAACTAATGTTTATGATACGATAAATATTATTAAATTAATCATATCATCTATTTTCTTAGCAAACCTATTTAGAGATATAATTTTTTTACGAGCATTAGAGATACGTTTTTTATACTATTTTCTATAAATTTAGTCAAAGTTAAGATTGATTAACTCCTCAAAATATGACGTGGGGACTTATATTGATACGGATGTAGTATATGTTGTGTGTTCAGGTATGGTCTACAGTGTGGCTACTGCCCGCAATTCTCATGAAGTCTAATATTTTTAAGTTTTTTAATTATAGAATACATTCACATTAAAATTATGTTGAGACATAAATATTAATATTATTTTCACTAAAATTTTAGCTTGTCCTAAATTTTAAATTGTTTTTTTCCGGGATGGAGTGAGCAGACATAAGCATGGAATTCTGTTTGGAGGTAAACATGCATTCCGGGTAATGAAAATAGCGTGTACTGCAGCTGCGACCGTGTGCATGTTTACACGGCCGGCGCACGTAGCAGTTCAGGTGTGTTCGAGAAGAGCTTTCTTCAAGGATCCATGGAGCTTCCTCTTAATGCAACAAAACGTGCAGTCCAGGATCTTCTTCGATGTTTAAGGGAACAACACCAACTGTCCTTGGAGATATTAATTTCAAGTACTGCAAACGACCCTCTTAATTTCACTTGTTGCCAAAAGATTCACGCGATTTAGATATTTTTAGTGGTTGCATGGTGAAGTACAGCTCATACCGAAAGTTTCTTTTTAGCAACCAGAGTTCAAATTTCTTGCAAACGTCAGTAGTGGTTTGGAACTTTGGATCTCGTAGGAATTATAGGAATATGCTATAAAAAATCTCACAGGATCCAATTCTTCATATCCTTGTGTACTCCCACGGTCCAAAACTAGAAAAAAAATCTCATTTTTTTAATGAGTCAACAATCCTAAGTTTCAATAATTTTGTAGGAAATAGTATCTATGTTTATATCTTCAAATAATTTTATTGTGAAAATGTATTCCATAATTAATCTAGTGATACTTATTAAATTTAGTTTTTTTACTCTTTGAGAAAGTGTGACTTTCATTCTTTTTTGGGATGGAGGGGATAGATTATTTTGGGCATATTTTTGGTTTGTTGCATTAGCATGTGTCTAGACTTGTGCAATGCACTTTACGTTTGTTTATTAGTCCCAAAGCTCTTATATATATAGTTTAGCTCTTATATGTGTAGACTTGCATGGTGCTCAAACCAAGTCCAATACAATGTTAACTAGTACGTTAGTTTTGGTCGTGTTAGGCAAGGTATGTTTACACATGCTAATGGGGCATACCACAAACAACGAAATATTCTCACCTCTTCCGCCGCTCCTAGAACATTGGACGTCTACTCGAACATGCGTGAGCAACCAAACACAAACTTACCCAACACAACTTCTCTGTGCAGCCCAACCAAACAATAAGATATTGCGTACGTTTAAATTGTTTTGAATGGTACTGCATAAGATATAATGCGGCTAAAACTAATGCAAAGCGACCAATCATACCTTATTAGATCCAACCATCTATATTCCTGTTTTACGAATTTGACCAACCAAACATCTTACAATCTAGGGGGCATTTACATATTTACCATTATTACGGATGACATCTTATACTGTGTCACTGACACATGAGTCAGGGTATTGAAATAATATACCAGGTGGGGAGCAATCCCCCCTAAGACATTAAAAGAAAAAACAACCCAACATTATAGGTGTAAAGGGCCAACCCAACATCCCCCTAAGATTCTATAGTGGCTATGGAAAGGGCCTATTTGGATTACTTTTGGATTATTAGAATCTGGAGTAATAATTTGGGATGTTTAGATCCCTAAATTATAGGTGTTGGATTATTGTCCATCCATCTACCCTATTAGTAGATTTGAGATGGATTATAGGATTGCAATAATATGTTGGTGGTATTTTAATCTAACCCATAATATAGAATGTCTGAATCACCTAGACATTATTTTATTTGATTACTACAATCAAATAGACCCTAAATTCTTACAATCATCCAAAGTGGCCTTACTCTGTCAGGACACGTTCTTGCACAAGTTGGAGACCGAGGCAACCTCACTTTGGTATCTCTACACAATCTAACAGTCGTTTGAACCAAACGGCATAGGACGGTGGCATTTCCATTAATGAATGGCCACTTCTTCTACAATATAACAGTTAGCATGTCTGACTTTGCTCTGCCAAGACTAGATATGTCAGTTTCACGTATACAGAAGCATGTGAGATTTTTTCCCCAAGACCGGCCATTTGCATTGTGTTCGGAAAGTAATAATAATAAGTAAATTGGTGAAAGGTCAAATACAGGTGCAAACAGGTTTTGAGACAAAGACACTTCGAAAAAGGGGAGGACATATCCAAACTCCTTAAGGCCTCGTACATTTCGCATGGAATGGCCACCTGCAAAAATTCCAGGCTGGAATGCTAGCTAAATTTGTATAAGATTCATCCTGGGCTGGTTGTACTGTAACTGAACGGGGGCCCTAATTAGTCTCAAACTGCCCCTGATTTGATTTTCTATTTCTATTCTACCAGGATAGTATTAGTATGGGAGGGAGTAGTATTCTCATGTCAATCAGGATCAGGTAATGCAGTTGCAGCTATCATATTACTGCTAAAAAATTAGCTCTTGCAGCGATCGATCTACCAAGGCAGGCACACTATACAATCAAGAACAAGATTGAAAGGCAGCAAGGCACCATAATTGTTGACGAGGTTCATATCAAAGTCAACTTGAGATTGGTAATTCAAATCTTTTTGCTACCTCAAGATCAAGGAGGTGGCACACATACATGACACAACAAAAGTTTACAATACGGTAACAACAATATTACCTCATGATCAAACCGTAATATAAACTGCAGCAAACTTAATTGACTGGGATTGAGCACTGCTAGCCAGTAGTGGTAAGTATATATATGCAGTAACAACAGTACAGGGTAAAAAGCTAGCACCAACAAGCTCGCTCCTACACACTGGTCACAGAGGTCACGACTCATACAGTACAGCTCAGAAGCACCAGAAAGTCGGCGCCGGTGCCGGCCGCGCCTTCTTGGGCGGCGGCGGCTGCGGGAACTCCGGCACCGCGAACACGTCGCTGTCGCTGTCGGAGTTCCAGCTCCTCTCCCTCACGCACCCCTGCTGCTGCTTGGCCGCCGTCGGAAGGACCACGACGGAGGCCGGCACCTTGTCGAAGCACAGCGGTCCGCCGCCGGACCACGCGCCTCCGCGCTTCCCCGGCCGGCCGCCAGCCACCACGTCGAAGAGGTCGGCGTCCAGGGACGGCACCTGCTCGTGGCCGTCGTCGCTGTAGCCGGCCTTCTGCTTCCAAGAACGAGCCACCACGAGGTCGATCTGTTAGCTAGCGTGATCCGGCTGCGGATAGAATAGAACAGAGCGCGGCGACGATGGCTGGGCACGTACCGATGCCGCTGAGAACGCGGGGTCGTCGAAGAGGAGGTCGTCGACGCGCCAGCCGGGGCAGATGTTGGTGAGGTAGTCGGAGATGCTGCTGCCGCCGCCTACGCCGCCGGACTCAAGAGCCGAGGCCTTGGCCGCGCAGGAGCCCTGCGCGCCGAGGACGGGCACAGCGTCGGGCTCGCAGGCGGCGCCGTTGCCGCGGCCGCAGTCGTCGTCGTCGTCAGGGGAGGGGGGCACCTGGTCGACGAGCGCGGCGGAGAGCTTGGCCCCGACGAGGAGGAAGCGGGTGTGCTTGGCGGTGAGGTCGTTGGCGCTGTGGATGGGGTCGTCGCAGTCGGGGCACAGGATGGCGCGGTCTTCCACGCAGAACACGAGGCCCCTCCGCTCCTGCAAGGCGCACCAACCATGTCAGCAGCAGCAGCAGCTCCGAATCCGATCCTCTCCGTCTCCGGCCGAAGCATGCACCGGACCTTGCAGACGTCGCAGAGCGGCGCGGTGGCGTTTGCGGCAGCGTCGGAGTCGTCGTTGCCGGAGGCGGGCTGGAGGAGCGGTATGCGGCGGTGCTTGTGGGCGAGCTTGTTGGCGCGGTGGACGCGGCGGTCGCAGGCGGAGCAGAGCGCGGCCTCGTCGGCGCAGCAGAGCACGGCGGCCGGCGCGGCGCCGCAGACGTCGCAGCGCACCTGCATGGCTAGCCTATCGGAGACCAGCTAGCGCTCAGCCGCTCAGGAGGAGGAGAATCTGGTAGGCACTAAGCTTGCTCTCAAGCTACAGCGTCAAAGGTTGAGAAAAGGAGGCTGGAGAGAGACAGGGGAGAGGACATGGCGGGATGGGTGCAGCGAGGAGGAAGCAATAATAAAGCAGAGCAGGAGGGGTAGTGAGATTAAATTAAATTATCCTCCATGACAGGGAGAGGCGAGATCTTGTTTGGGGAAGAGAGGAGAGGAGATGGGGCCAAGCCAAGTTGGCCACCTGTTTTTGTGCTTCTTCGGATTGAATTCACGGCTTACTGCGTAGCTCTTCTCTCAAAAGCTAGATTAAGGTCTATTTGATATTTTGAGCTCACGGTGTAACATATCGAAGCCAAAAATTAGCTCTACTCCATTCAAAGAAAGGCTAACGATTTTTAATCGCCAGTAGTTGTTAGTCCATTAGTCAAACACAACTAGCTAACAAAAGCCAAACTAATAGTTCATTGCTAGAGATGTATGTAAATTTTACGAGGAATACAAATATACACCGGTTAATAATCAACTAATTTTTAGCTATGACAAACAATTAGTCTTAGTCGGTCTAAACAGACTCTGAGTAACTAGCCATAAATAAGACCTACATGGAATCAACCAGATAGATTTTGCCCAACTTTACTTGATAGATTTGCTTACTTTATTACATGCATATGCCTGCAAGATATTTGTACTTTTTGCAATGCAAGTGGTTGATGGTTATTGTTGTTGTTCCTTCCAACATTTTTGTAAAAGTTGCGAGGAGTTTCTAAAGTCCAATTGGGTATCCATTTAGGTGAAACAAATGATAGCCTCCACTTCGCAATAATATTAGTTCTATTCACATGCATAGGAGGCATATATAAGACTATAAGAGCCATGTACATCTTTGTGTAGTTGGATTATTGTAATTTTTACTATATAGATGTAGTATTGATCCTTGATCTATCTCCTGAGTACAATTTTGACTAGTGTTAAGCCATTTTGGCATGCGACAAGGGATCACGACTCCCAACACAAACATGATAGGCCACTTATGGGGCCTGTTCGCTGGGTGGTGCTGATGCTGGTTTGAGCTGATTGATGCTGATTTTTTGTGAGAGGAAAACACTGTTGACTGTCTAATTTAGGCTGGCTGAAACCAACAAACGAACAGTCTGATGGAGTCTTAGCATTCACTCAAGAATATGCTAGAGGCTAAGCAACCTCCTACGTACGGTTGCCCAATTAGCTTCCTTGATGTGGAACTTGCTGAGTCAAATTGGAGTCTAACTAAATATGTACACTAATATTATATTAAATAAATAATGATCAAGATTATGAGCAATAAAACACTACCAACAGGAACAAGTATGTCCAAATAACTCTAAATTAACCACCAATAGATACTGTTTGTAGAAAAATGGTACAACATTTGTATTTTATTGAAACTAAATTAGTTATATGTTTTAGAGGTGTAAACATATTTTTATATATTTTTGAAAATACATATGTAGGCAAAACCAACTTTAAAACTAGTTGAGGGCTAAAGTTGTCTAGTTTAGTAGTTCAATGGCCAAAGTAGTTTGATTGTCATTGGACCTTGAAGGCCACAATCAGACTCGAAACGATAACTCGATTGTAAAAAATAAACTTCTTCCTTATTCTTCGAGGGGTAAAAGTGAGTTTAGCTATCGTGGCCATATACCGGTAATTTTTCAATCTCAAACCTACCAGCGAAGTCTCTCAGAAATGTTTATGAGTTAGAACTTTTTTTTGCAAACAAATTTATGAGTTAGAACTTGCATACGTTCATTCATAAAAGTAAGTATGGGTACAAGTATGCAAGCATTTGCATCTACAATAATATGCCCTACATTAGTTGATATTATTGTGCAAAAGTTATTCCCTCCGTCCTTAAATATAAGGGCCACAAGGTTGTCCTAAGTCAAACTACGCTAAGTTTGACCAAATTTATAGAGAAGAATATCAACATCTATAACTTCAAAGAGGTATATTATAGATATATATTTTATAATGTATTTAATTGAGCTAATTCGAAGTACTATATATTTTTTCTTTTTTTATAAACTTAGTCAAAGTTACTACTATAGTTTGACTAAGGATAAACTGAATCCTTTATATTTTAGGACAGGACAAAGAGAGTATACCATTGATAGAAGGCTACAACATCATAATAAAAAATATTTCTGACATTCACAAAAAATGAGTAAAATCTTTTTAGAGGATATAATCCCATCTACATGCATGCCAATGCCATAGATAATTTTTTTGAGATGAAAGAATAATTATATTAGATCACAGCTAAGTACATCATCACGTTACAAGCACACTAGCGTATATCCAGATCATCTAAATTGTACCACGCTCTGTATAGCACAAAATCTCAACTCCAAACCTGTATGATGATTTGTATAGACGACCGCACAGTCAAACACTCGGCAAAAGGCCTGAGAACATATGCCCAACGAACGACAGCCAACATTCCTGCAGGCGAAGTGGAGAAACTTCTTCTTTCTTGTGTCTTCCTTCTTCTTTTTACCACCAAAGAATAAGAAAGATTGATTTGAAACTTATTCTCTCTGGTCCTTCATTGTGGCCAGATCTAACCACAACAAAACGGAGAAGAAACCGGAGAAAATTATTCTATAACGGTGACATCATCTCCGCCTTGATGTCGTCATCCAGAAAGCCAAGTCTCCATGTCGTCAAGCCGATAAAGTTGCTGACGCTGATGTCGCCCTCATCTTCAACAGTGCCGCCCTCATCTTCAACAGAGCCGCCATGGAGAAAATGAATCCACACTGCCCCATCGCCGTCGCCAGAGAGGAGGAGGAGGAGATAAATTTCCAGTACCAAGAAACTTGGTATGGAGAGACTCTAACCATAGATGACTCGATATACTAGAAAACTTATAAAAAACGATGGATCCCCACTCCCTCTGGCCTCCCGCGAGATGCCAGAGGGAGAAGGGAGGGAGACCAACGGTGGTGGATGCGGAGGTGATGGCGGCTGCGGCGCTAGGGCGAGCGACTTGCTAGTCGCGGAAATTTCTCCTTGAGACCTCGATAGGAAACCAGCCATAATTGAGCTCGGTTGTTTGCACTCTAAGTGCTTGTTTAGTTCCCAAAAAGTTTCTCAAAAAAGTACTACAGTAGCCATCACATCGAATCTTGCGATACATGCATGGAGCATTAAATGTAGACGAAAAAAAACTAATTGCACAGTTTGGTTGAAAATGGCGAGACAAACGTTTTGAGTCTAATTAGTCCATGATTGAACACTAATTGCTAAATAAAAACGAAAGTGCTACAGTAGCCAAATTCCCAAAATTCGTAAACTAAACATAGCCTAAAAATCTCTCTCCCTGCACTGTACTGCACACACAGTGCCCCATTCGCTTCTCTTATAATTCGTTTTTTTCAGATTATTTTTTTTAGGCGGAATAGTGTTTTTCTCTCACAGCAAATCAGCCGGAACAGTGTTTCAGTTTGATTTTTTCAGCGAAGCGAACGGGACCACTTGTCCATGTGCCAAAAAAAAAAACGCATGGCATGTTCTGGATGTGTACTTACGTACGGGGCCCAATTAATGGACGCGTGGACCACCACTGTACGTGGCACTCTGTGTAGCGTGCTTAATCTGCGTGATGTGCGCGTTAGTTGTTCATCGATCGTTTCATTATTTCTGCTCCCATCGATCTCAAGTCTCAACTGTTGCTAATCCGGCGGGCCTGGCGGCAGCGGCGTAGCTAGGATTCGTAGCTACGGTGGTCTATTGTCTAAATTTTTTTTTTAGCCGCTATAAATTTAGGGGGTGTTTGGTTTCTCCTCTAAACTTTAGTCGTTGTCCCATTAAATATTTGGACACATGTACGAAATATTAAATATAGACTAATTACAAAACTAATTGCACAACTTGCGACTAATTTACGAGACGAATCTTTAAAGCCTAATTAGTTTATGATTTGACAATATAGTGCTACAGTAACGTGTGCTGATAACGGATTAATTATGCTTAATAAATTCGTCTCGTGGAGTACTAACGGGTTCTGTAATTTGTTTTTTTATTAGTATCCGAACACCACATGCGACACCCTCACGTGATATCTCCTAAATTTTAGTCACCGGATCCAAACACCCACTTAATATGTCGGTGCACAAGTATATGAATTACAAAACACAATTAAAAAAAGGGCATACAGAGTTCGAGTAAAGAAGAAAGGATATCATGATCAACGTACAGGTCGTGCGTTGCTAGCCTTGCCTCTGACTCCGACGTCTGGCCGACCGGCGGCAGGGCGGCCGGTGGCTACGCGGCTGCTGCAAATACAGATCGTCAAGACCCCAAGTACGAGTTTGGACGGTTGGAGTCAGAACTCAGAAGACCAAGGTGCATGTCGCGGAGACGCGGGCGTCGCTTGGACTTCGCTTTCAGGCTCGATCCGGATTCGGCAGCAGAAGCACATAGGCTAGCCCAGCAGAGTCCAAAGCCGAGTACTGAGGGAGTGAGGGGTACTACAGTTTAGACCAAATCTACAAGGTGGTCCGTGGCCCAACCTGTCCACCCTATAGCTCCGCCAGTGCCGGGTCGGCTTATTATTGTTGCTCCCATTGGTCAACCAAGAGTACCTACCTACAAGTAAGCTAAGTAACAATTAACTAACAAGCACAGCGATGTGGTTGCCATGGCGACGACTTCTTCTTGCTCCTCTTAAACATATGTGTCGACCATGGATCGATCGCCCAGCTACTACTTTTTTTTTTCGAAAGCGTGCGCTGCACTGCTTCATTAAGAGAAGAAAGAGTTTTCGTTACACAATGGTTGCACACCATGGCGATTTGCCATGATATACAAACCACGCACACTAACAAGGATCGCCGGCTTTAACGGCGGTGCTAAATCGTTGTACTAAACGTTTAAACAAATGTTAGAGCATCTCCAAGAGTTTGTCAAATTTTACT